TTGGAACAAATGAAAAGTGTAGGCTAGAATTAGACAAAATGTAATTAAGAATATTTTAGATATGGAAAGAAATTCCCACTAGGGCAGAGAAAGGAAGTTTAGTCAAAATCCGGAGCGCTGCAGCTTAACTTCTAGCTAAGCCTCTTTGGTTGAGATCCTGGCTTTTTGATCCGTTGGTGCCACGTTATGTGCTGGATGGCCGTAATCAATATACCACTATCTCTGCTACTTTGGGCTCAGGTGGAGAGAATTTTACTCCACTTTCTGCAGATTCTCCCCGTGCCTCAGTGGGGAGTGGAGGCTATGAGGGTCTATCAGCTCCCAGAAGGCCTCCCTTTCCTGTTTCCCTAGGGGCCTCCACCCGGGCTTCAGCCCCAGCATCCGCGCCCTCTCAGAGCAGCCCGGCCCCAGGTGGCTGCAGGGCACGGGGCCGCGGGCCCGGACTCGCCCCTCCCCGCGCGTCACGTGCGCGAGGATGCGAACTCCCCCTCCCTCCTCCTCCTCCCCCACCGCCTCCCGGGCTTCCTCCTGCTCCCGGTGAGGGAGTGCTTGGCAGACGGCGCGAGGGGGAGCGAGCGAGCGGGCGCTGCCGGGAGCCCGCAGCCCTGGCGCCCGCCGCAGCCCGGAGCCCCGCAATATGCCGCCGCGGCCCTCTGGCTCTCGGCCATGGCGAGGCTCTGCCGGCGCGTCCCTTGCACCCTGCTTCTCGGCCTGGCCGCGGTGCTGCTGAAGGCGCGGCTGGTCCCCGCGGCCGCCAGAGCTGAACTCAGCCGCTCCGACCTCAGCCTCATCCAACAGCAGCAGCAGCAGCAGCAGCAGCAGCAACAGCAAAAGCAGCTAGAGGAGGCTGAGGAGGAGAGGCCAGAAGTGCCTGGGGCATCCTCCACCTTGACGGCTCCAGGTAGGTCCTGGCTACCCAGCCCGGCCTTTCAGGCTAGGCCGGTGATCTCTTATGGCCTCGCCGGCTTCCTCGCCTGTTCCCTAGCCATCCCCATCCCCATCCCCATCCCCATCCACTTGCTCGTCTCTATCACCATCCCTCCTAATCTCTCTCCCTAGACTGGCTGTCCAGGCTTGGGTCCCTAGATCTGGTGTGGGAACCTTCCCTTTGGGTAATGAGCTTTCTGGGCAGCTCAGCACTGCAGTGGGTTGAAGAGGGTCTGGAAAGCTGAGGGTGGGTGACTGCCTGGGTTGATTTGATGATCTTTTTCGTCTCCCTCCCTTCTTCCTGAATTCTACCCTCCTCCCTGGGAATGACCGTACACACACACACACACACACACACACACACACACACACACACACACACACACACACACGGTTCTTAAATCCCTTAAGCATTTTGTTCTCTATCCTCTTCTCTCCTAGAGACTGAGAAATCTTGCCATGGACACCCACACACCCCTTTCACCATTTCTCCCTGCCTGCTGTATTTAAATTTAGCCATGGAGGGAGAAATCTTGATGTATTTTATTATTTATTTCTCTTTCTCCTTATCCCAGGAAGGGTTTAAGGGTTCATCTTATTGCAAAGAATGCCTTTAGTACAATAAGATGAAGCAAAACAAAATCAAATAGGAGTTTGTAATTGAAGAAAAGGGAAAAGGAGAGGAGAACACATGAGGTAAAGTCTGGAGTGGCATTCCTACAGCAAAAACCTATCCCTAAAGAGGAAAATCTCCTTACTTGTTAGTAGAACTTAAATGAGGCAGATTCTTGACACTGTTCAATGAAGATGTAGAAATACGGCTGCAGTATAGGTGACTATAACAGTTCCCCGGTTCCTCTTTCCCACCATTAAAGCTCCATGGCTAAGCAAATAGCTGGATGATCCATGTATATTGCATCTCCCTACCCCCCCAACCCAGTTCGCTTCCTGGCTGTAGATGCTGTCTGTTATTTGGAAAGAAAAAAAGCCTTCAATTTTCTGGCACGAGGGCTTAGATTTTGTGAAACCAAAGTGAATTATATTATGACATTTGTTTTTGTTTTAAAATCCTGCCTGGTAATATTATATGAGTGCTGAAAATTAGATTTTAAAGAGTGGAATCAGCATCACATTTTGTATTGCTTGCTCATCATCAAAAAGCAGTACATAGGCATACCAGCTGTGATTCATGACACAGCCAGGATGATTTAATTCATCAGAGTGCGCTGAGCATAGGATGAAATCACCAAAGTGTGCAGGAAAGCATGTGTTTCTGACACCCTCTTACACCAATTAATAACACTCAAGTGTGGCTAAAAGTCTTTAAAGGTATGTAGCGTATGATGGTTTTCCTACCCAGCTTTTAATAACTGGAAGTGATAACAACATGGTTTGGGTGAGGCTGCTGTTAGACATGCTGTTCACTAAACTTAAGGAAATTGGATATAGCAGATTGATTGGCCTCATTAAAAGAGATATTTCATAAATTCGCTATGAAGCAGAAGCCTAGGAGAGTGTTTGTGGGTTTTATGGTTTGCAGTATATTTTTATTTCCCTTTGCTTTTCAGGAATATTAAATGGGTTTTGATTACTGCAATCTATATGTTATGATTAGGGTTATGAATAACTGCAATAATATTAAACCTGAATTGAGTATGCAAATTAAAATGTTTGCTTTCCAATGTTTGTGAGGGAATATTCTGAAAAGGATGATCGTCTGGGAAATTAGCAGTTTTTGTTTTATTTACCTATCAGATTGAGATAAAGAAACCACTATTCAATAGATTAAGCTAGAACCTGAAAAGTAACCTATGATGATTCTTCTTCCTCAAACACTAATTACCCAAGCCAATGGCAAACGAGAGAAATTCAATTGACTGCTGTTTTTGTTATTGGAATACCGAGTCTTATAATGCAACACAGCTTATAAACAAATTAAGTTAAAATATTCCTCTGAATGCATTGTGATCTCTCCATTGAACTGGTCTTCCTGTTTCAACCTTTGTTTGCCTACTGTTGTTCTCCTCATACAGCTAGGGATCTTTAAAAGAGACATTAAATAGGATCATTTCTGCTCACAGTCCTCCAATGGCTTCCCGTCTCTCTCATACTAGATGCCCAGATCCTGAAAATGGCCTACGAAGGTCTGGATCCTTTGTATCCTTCTTTCTCTCTTGTCTCATTTAGCCCTTACCCTAATTCACTCCACTGTAGCCACACTAGCTCTGTTTTCTTTGGCTTGCAAGAGGACCCAAGTGTTTGGCCTTTGCAGTTGCCTTTTTCTGTGCCAGGAATTCTGGAACTTCATATTTTTCAGGTTTGCTCAAGTGTCTCAGTAACTGAGAGGTCTTGACCAGGTGTTTAAAATGGTAAAATACACACCCTTTTGCCCTTACCCTGATTCATTCTCCTCCATGGTATTCACTATTCTCAGCTGTTCTAATAAGCCTGTTTTCTCCTGGTAGAACATAAGCTCTGGGAAAGCATGGACTTTGTTTTGTTCAGTGCTATATTTCTAGTATCTGGAAGAGTGCCTGCTTGGTACCCATAGACATTCAACCATTTGTTGAATGGATGTATGAATGAATAAATGTGCTGGTATCAAGGATCACTTTCATTTTCTTAGTAGTTGCTCCTCTTCATTGGATAAATTGGAGTTTAGCTGGGGATGTATAGAAATAAATGTTATGTAAGAAAATTTGTAATTAGAAATTATAAAGTATGTAAATTTTGGATCTTTAATTTTAGTTAATTTCAGTGTTTATCTTATGCTGACTATAGAAAACTGATTGATACCAGTACTTGGGCCTACTTACTAGGTTCTGTCAAGAATTTATTTTATTTATTTATTTATTTATTTATTTTGAGACAGTGGTGTGATCATGGCTCACTGCAGTCTCAACTCCTGAGCACAGTCTCCTGAGTAGCTGAACTACAGGTGCATGCCACTGCGCCCAGCTAGTTTTTTTTTTTTTTGTAGAGATAGGGTCCTGCTTTGTTGCCCAGGCTAGTCTCAAAGTCTGGAACTCTAGGCTCAAGCAATCCTTGTGCCTCAGCCTCCCAAAATGTTGAGTTTACACACATGAACCATAATTCGTTATCTGAATATATTTAATCCTCTTACGACACAGGACGGTTTTAACATATTATACCTTTAAATTACTCTGATTAAGCTTGAGTTCATTCTTTACCTCTGTATGATGCTTCCGATTCTTTGGACGTACCATATGAAAAACTGTAGGACTTTTCTCAGGCAAAATTTAGAAAACGAATATGATACATTCAGTGATTGATATATGACTAAGCCTTATCAGTCCATAGGAGAGAAACTGACCATTGCCCTTGCTTAGTATTATCTGGATTTTATCATTCTAAAAATGTATGTCTCTTTGTATTGCTGAGAAACAAGAAAGCAAGATTTAAAAAAAACTTGAATGTGAAAATTTTTAAAACTCAGTATTTTTAAAAAGTACGTTTCCATTTTCTCATTAACTTATAGAAACACCGTCTTCAGAGAGCAGTGAAAATAAAGGCTAAGGTTGGTATCCATCAAATCAGCTGTTTTCTCCAGTGTATGCAACAGCTCTTATTTCTCCATCTGTACCAGTATTTGTTAGAAATAAATATTTGAGGGTCCTGAGAATTAATTTGGGGGCGGGTGGTAGTTGAGACAACCATATTATATTCATTCTGATGGCCTATTAGATGGGAGGCATGCTGGGGTTGGGGGCGAGAGGAGCTGGGAAAAAATAATAAGCTCCATTTAAAATTCTCTATGTGAAGCAGAGACACAGGGGATCTCCAGGGATCATAGAAATGTCTTTTCAGTACAGAGAAAGCTTCTTGAGAGGCATATTTTCATGGTATGAAAAATATTGATTGCATATTTCAGTGATATCTCATTTTAAACGTTTTATTTTGGAAAATGTTAAATATATAGAAAGTAAGCAAGATAGTATAATAAAAGTCTGTACCTGTCACCCATCTTGAACAATGGTCAAAATTCTGCCGCTGTTTTTTTCACCCATACTTCTACCTGTTTCCACTACATGGGATTTGTTTTTAATTTTTATGGGAATATAGTAGGTATATATATTTATGAGGTACGTGAGATATTCTGACACAGACATAAAATGCGTAATTATCACATCAGGGTAAATGAGGTATCTGTCACCTCAAACATTTCTTATTTGTTTTATACACATTTCAGTTATACTTTTAGTTACGTTAAAATGTACAATAAGTTGTTGACTGCAGTTACCTCATTGTGCTATCAAATAGTAGATCTTATTCATTCTACCTAACACAATTTTATATTCATTAACCAACCCCACTTCCTCCCCCATCCCAATACCTTTCCCAGCCTCCCGTAACCATCATTGTAATCTCTATCTCCATGAGTTTAATAGTTTTAAATTTTAGTTCCCACCAATGTGTGAGAATTTGCAAAGTTTTCTGTCTGTGCCTTGCTTGTTTCATGTTCTCCTGTTCCATTTATGTTGTTGCAAATGAGAAGATCTCATCCTTTTTAATGTTTGAATAGTACTCCATTGTGTATATGTATTATTATTTTTTTTTTTTGGTCCACTATCTGTTAATGGACACTTAGGTTGCTTCCAAATCTTGGCAATGGTGAATAGTGCTGCAGTAAACATGGGACTACAGATATGTCTTTGATATACTGATTTGCTTTCTTTTGGGTATATACCTAGCAGTAGTATTGCTGGATCATATGGTACCTCTATTTTTAGTTTTTTGACGAACCTTCTACTGTTCTCCCTAGTGGTTGTACTAATTTACATTCCCACCAGCAGTGTACAAAAAAGTTCCCTTTTCTCTGCATCCTCAGCAGTATTTGTTATTGCCTATCTTTGGATAAAAGCCATTTTTAACTGGGATGAAATGATATCTCATTGTAGTTTTGATTTGCATTTCTCTGATGATCAGTGATGTTGAACACTTTTTCATGTACCT